TTTAATCTTGAACTAGTCGGTGGTGATTGGTCCGCAGGTAAAGCTTTGAGAATACATGAGTCTCTCGGCAGATTTCAACTGCTATCAATCAAACGGTTGGACGCGTAAAGTAAATCCCAAGGTGATATGTGAATGAAGGCAGGGTTGATCGGGGATTCTGTGAGCTCTAAAGAGAGCTCCCGATCAACGCGCTGCATTTCTTGCACGGAAAACATTTGGATATCTGGACAGTATGAGGCAAAATTGTGTTCTGATGATACAGTATGTTAACATAGATGTTTATAACTCTTTTCAATTTAAATTTGGCGCACATGTGAGACAAGAACTACGAGAATTCAAATTTAGCGCTAAAACGCAGTTATTGATGGAAGCACTTCAACGTAACGCTGGAACCATTACTGTAGCAAAATGTACGCAATGGTTTCGCTTCATGCAAACATATTTGCCACGTTGTATCAAAAGAGAAGTAATAGAAGGATAAATGTCGTTTTAGTGAGAACATTTTTTCACGAACAAGTAAAGCGCCATCGATTGACTTTTTTCTCTTATCATTTAAAACATGCAATTCATGTCCAGTCACCCAAGAGAATGTTACATTCATGCTAATGCTTTTGTATTCGCACAATAGATTGTCAATGTTTATGATAATTGCGCAAATGAATTTTCTATTCTTTATGAATGCTTGTCAATGAATGCAACTGTTTGTTGGTTGGTGTTATTGAAGTATATTTTGATGTAAATGACTATAAAGTTCCCGCCCAAAATGTCTGAGCGCGCATTTGTTTGTCAGTTAACGTTATTGAATATCGATACATATTCAAATATCCTAATTGAAAGTTCGATCAACACTAATGAAAAACTTATTTACGTTATTGATATACCTTTTGGCATAAATGAAAGTATATTTTCTGGTAATGAACAGCAAAAGGTGTATTATTATTGTTGTTATTATTATTATTATTATTATTATTATTATTATTATTATTATTATTATTATTATTATTGTCGTTATTATTTATGTACAGATTTAGCCAAGCCTAAAAGCGGAGTTCTTGTTAGTTTATTTTCCAGCCCTTCATTATACTGAATGAAAACTGTAATAAATCTCATCAGCACTGGCTGTAGAAGTGTTTCATCAGTGGAATGAAAGACCAGTTCGGGGGGTGGGGAGGTGGGGAAAAATTGACGAGGTCTGGAACCTGGGGACGATGTTCTCACAACTACACACATGCTAGTCAGCGGTATCTTCAGACAGGTTACAACCATTGTCATTGTTCTTGATGTTGTGACCAAATTTTCGAAGATAAGGAGTGTTGTCTTCTTCAGATGAAGTGCATGATATCAGCATCAGTTGAAATTATATTCTATTGAGCGTGACTTATAATTTCGGTTTGGGAAAAGGAGCCAAAATTGAAAGAAACGACAGTAAACCACTTTGCGTTAAGACATTACTGGTGTATACACGTGCAGTGAGCACAGTGAGTCAGTAAAGCAATACGCCAGAATCGTATGGGCTTTTCTTATATCTTCTCTTGAAGTTGCTAGGTATGACTGCTTACCCCACTGTTTTTCCTCAACGTTTCAACCTCCTCTGTTTAGCGTAGAAAATTAAAAAAAGTAGTGTTCAACTCGTGTTTGAACCTGTGTAATTTTCTAAAACCTTTTCGCTTTTGGCTACTCGTTTTATGTTTCACGATTGTCCTCCAACGACGTCTTTTTTATATTTCTTCTGTTATTTAATTCGATAGTCTCTGCTGTAACTGTAATATTTCAACCCAACCATTTTCCCCATATATAAGCACTATTACAAAATAAATCATTCGAACAAAACTTCTGTGAGACAGTTCTTTCCCTTTAAATAGAAGATAACTGCAGCTTCACAAGCTAGCACTCTTCTTAGCCAGCTCTCTCAGCTCATCTTTAATTTTCTTTAGGGCTCTCTCCTTTCCTTTTGCTGCTTTTCTCAGTGCATTAGACTTAGTGACAAGTACAAGCTTGGATTTTTCCTCTGCTTCTTTTGCTAGAGAGTCTACATCAAGTTGCAAGGCACTAATTTCACTGGCAAGGCGCTTTTCCTTTTCCTCAAACTCAGCTTTTTCCTCAAAAACTATTTTCCGCTTCCTGTTTTGAAATGCTTGCTGTTGCTCTTTCTTCTGCTCTTCAAGATAGGCAGAGTAACGTTGCCTCCCTGCACTAGCTACTACATGAAGTTCCTTGTAAACAACCAACTGAACTAAGCCTCCAATGCTCTGAATGTGGTCATGAATTGTACACCGTGCAACGAATGTTTTTTCCTTCGAATTTTTGATCATGACTTGCCAGTTTACTGAAAAACTCTCGACAGTTGCTTGACTTGGGTTAGAAAGAATCAAGAGTTCTCTCAGCAGATCCCATAATTTGGACAGTGAACTAACAGAACCAATCTGTTTCTGCAGAAATATATCCAGCCTGTCCACCTTGAAGTTGAATTCTTCGAAGGCTGATTTCTCAGCCTTAATTGCCAGATCAAGAAACTCAGAGTACTGCAAAACTAAGGGATCACAATCACGTATGTTCAATCTGCTGCATTTCACCAACTTGCTCAGCACTACGTTGAACTTTGCACAGCAACCTTCTTTGTCAGTCACAATCAAGTTGGGGTCCAGACATGTCAGATTTCTTGCCAAAGTGTAGGCTATTGGTGTCTTTTCAAACAGCTTGCCAACAATAGTAGTTAAGAAGGACTGAAACTCACTCTTGAACTGGTAAATCTGAAAGTAACAATAATATCAAGCTCAGCACAGACAAAATTTCAGTTTCTGGTATTTTTGGCAATACTGTCCGCAATGGGTTAGGACAAGGTTAGTAGGTCAATGAGTCTCTGAAGGAAGCATTATTTCATTCCATTTTTAAAAGCTCATAGGAAATTATTGTATTGTATTCTGTTTAAAGTGAAAAAATGTATTTTGAGAAATTTGATATTAAATATCATAATTATGCACTGTGTTGGACATCAATGGCCATCTCTCTAGATTTCTTAATAGTTACCTAGCGATCACTGACTTTTTTGTCTGCCTGTAGTTTCTTGAGCTTGTCCACAGCAACAAGTCCAATATCCACCTTCTTAATCTCAAGGAAATTTTTCACATCTGAGAGGTCTAACTTTAGAAGCTTTACTGCTGAGGTAGCCTTCTGAAGCACACCAGCCTTAACATATCTCTTCATCAGTCCTACAATCATCTCTTGTAGAGTGCTAGCCATGAAAGGTAGAAGTGGGTTGTCACTTTGAAAAATTGCCAGGAAGGGTTGAAGCTGCTTTGCCATTGACTTAAAAGCTGCCATCTTTACTGGCATGAGTGCATCCTCGACAGCATCTCGTATAATCTTGAATGATTTTGATGTTGGGTTACTGCATTTCTTGTCAGTTTGCAATTTTTGAACATACAGAATGGCTTTGTCCCAAATTTCCTGAGCTCATATTACAATGGGTACGTTCTCCAGTCATCTGTGCCTACAAAACTTCAGAGGAAATCTGCTGCTTCTTGTTATTTCAGTTGAATCTTCTTTCCTTGCTGGTGAGTCTACAAATAACCAATACAAAGATGAGAAGACCTCTTCTACATTCCACTCAGATGCCTGTGCACCAGTCGTGAATGCAATATGAACACCATGTAGCCCACAAGAACCAACAGTGATTAAAGTTGATGCATCCTCACCAGCCTCAAAAAATATGTGCTTGCAATAAATCGTGAAATATGCAGTTAACATTGAGCCCATGCATAGATGTCTGTAATATCTTGGATTTGTCAATTTTTTTACTGACGAGATATTCTGTAATCTTTACTTGTAAGTCATTAGCAGTTGCATGCCCCATGAACAAGAGTTAAACTAATATGCGAGCCTGTATTCGGTCCAAACAAATACAACAAATATCGATGACATCCTCAGGGAGATCGCACGCATTACAAGTTCTAACCTATTACCGAGTCTAACGAGTTTCCGAAGGTGGCATCTTCGCAATTTTTGCTGATGCAATTTTGGGTAGTCCAAACTAAACTGTTAGAATTAATAAGTACTAAAAAGCGTTTGACAAAACCGTTAATTGCTGTGTTGCGGAGAATAAATAAAGTTGTGACTGTTTCTCATTGTCATTTCAACGGTCACACATGTGAATAACCTTAGCACTTCGCTTCTCAATGAAAACTCGCCGTAACATGGCCAAAAGATCACTCATTGACTTAAGAATGTTTTCTTGCGGGAGCAAAACAAGTAATCCAAAGTGGGTAAGATAGCCCCATACTGCCAGCCAGGTAGTCAATCAGAAAACACGATTTTAGGTTTCGCTACCTCTTACCTGCTCAAGGAGTGAGCAGTGCGTTATAACAAAAACCGTGAACTGTCCATCCTTTACAGCGACAGTAAAGAACTGGATTAGCACAGAAAGAAAAGCCATCTCCACCCAAAGAACCAGCCTAACTTGAACTTTATTTACTTAAGTGTAACATGTAGCTGCATACAGTTAACCTAACCTGAACGTTGTATTATAATATGAAACTTCAAATACAACTGAAACTGTGAACTCAATTGTTTAAACTGTGTTAAACCTAGACGTGAAGGAATAATTGGACACACCTCTCGCTGTGCACAAATCCCTGAATTCACTGTCATTCAACCTTGGTCTGTAATAACTAAACAAAACACACAATAGAGTCAAAAATGATTGCTCGCAAACTACTCAGGAAAGATGATTTTATATCTTATTTTGAATCCTCAATTTGGGCGAGTGAATGTTGTGAAACAGACGCTTCGCAAGTCAGGTTTTTTATGCTTTGTAGCACATGTGAGCCGGTCCTTAGTCGAGGCTTTTATCAAAAACGTCTAGGCAGCTGGCGGAAACTAATAAATACGTATTTTAACGAAAATGGTCCCCTTTTTATCGTCCAATAGCTGTGTAATACATTCATGTCACATATCTTCATCGCCGAGAGGTTCGTTGACAACTTTTGTGGACGATTTCCTTT